ATCGGCTTCATCAGCGCCGACGTCCTCAGATCACGAACGGCCCCTCAGCCTCGACGTGATCCTATGTCTCAAGACCGGCTTCCCCAGCGCCGAGCGTCTTGAGCTAGCGATTGGGCTCGCCATCCCTTCCTGGATGGTGACCGTCGCCTTTATATGACGATCACTTCAACATCGCCTCATCCTCATATCCAGATAGGCATCCATCGCCTCGTCCCCATATTCAGACAGGCGTCCACCGCCTCGTCCTCATATTCAGACGAGCATCTACAACCTCGTCCTCGTGATCAGACGGGCGTCCATCGCCTCGTCCTCATATTCAGACCGGCTCATCAACACCGTCGTCCTCAGATTCAGACCGACTGCTCATCTCCTCCTCATCATTTATAGTTCAGACGGGCGTCCCCTCAGCAGACGGACACCTGTGCAGCTCCACACCCAGGCCGAAGGGTTCACCCCTCTTGCTTCATTTGTGGGGCATCCGGTGTACTCTTTTTCTCTCATTAGGATTTTTTCCCACATGGTTTTTCCTAATGAGGTTTTTAACGGGGCATCTCCCCATTGTGGATCAAAAGGTGTCGACCCTCGGCCCCCTGTTGAAGACATGCATTACTCTACTTCTTTTCACCTCATGACATGTGCCTCAAGGAGTGGGGGATTGGGGAACCCCCTCGGGAAATCACGAAAGTTAAAAGTTCTTTCAAGGCATCAACAAGAGCCTTCAGTCTCAAAATATGGGGGACTGGGGGTAGGGTTGTAAACGAATTGAATCGAACCGAATACTTGATAATATTATAGTCTGGGGGGCTCCCCTCGACAAAACACGCAAACGCAAAGTTTTCACTACTTCACAGCTACAGCAAGGTAGCCACCGGCGACTTCACAACACTTACTCCTATTTCCCTCGAGACGCTCTCGGCAAAAGGAGTGGGGGACTCCTGATGGAGTATATGGCCCGGGAACCCCTGGCCCACATACTTCCACTACTACAATCAGGCCCAATAGGCCCAAGTGTCCCAAACACAGTAAACAAGGCCCATTAAGGCCCCAGGGGACGTACGTCCTTCGGCGGATGAAGCCCCTAGGGGACGTACGTCCTCCAGCACATGGGAGGCCCTGGGGACGTACGTCCTCCAGCACTTGAAGGCCCCAGGGGAAGTACATCCTCCGGGGTACGTACGGCCTCTAGCACATGGCGGTATCCAGTTACGTACGACTTTTAGCACACGATGGTATCCGGCTACATACGACCCCAGCACGCCACCAAGGCCCAAATGGCCCCTGGGTACGTACGGCCTTCGGCTCATACATAGCCTTCGGCACATGCAGCCCTCGGGTGCTTGTAGTCGAGGGCACTCTCATCGACAGGATCTCCTCTCCACATGCTCTGAATCGCCACATTAAATGCAGCGTCAACTCCAACCACCGCATTGAATGCGATGCCACATGCTGTGTCGGCGCCACCCTGGCTGAGTCGACCCTTCACCGTTGATTGCTTGACACGTGTACCCACAATAATTGCATCAATCATTTATGGCCGCTATAAATAGCAGCCAATTCTCATTATAACGACAAGAACAACTTCATTGAATAAATACTCTCTCTCTCTTACTTGTTCTGACATCTCTCTAGATACCTCCAATGGTATCCCCCGGATATACTATCTGTCACCAACAGTAGAATATAATGGGGAAGTTTTATGGGATGGGAAGGTAGGCATTTTTTCATTCACACATGAAGAACAAGCCAAAAGGTCAATCAAAAACAGACCTGCTAAAACTTTAGAGACAAGCCAGTATTAAGTGTGACTAGAGCATTCATCAAAGACATGATTCTAAACAAAGTACTCCTATCAATCAATGAGTAGTGGCCAAATTTTCAAAACAAACATGTCATAATACAATAGGAAAATGCACGCCCTCATATAAGGGTTACTGATCCTGACTACGTCAGTATCGGGACACAGCATGGTTGGAGCATTGAACTGAAATGCCATCCTCCAAATAGTCCATACTTGAATGTTCTAGACTTGGGATTCTTTAGGCCAATTGATTCAATCAAAGATCAAAGGGATCCAAAGAACATTACAGGTTTAATTGAAGCTGTAAAACTTCTTTCAACGAGCTTACACCAAGCACATTGAACAAAGTATTTATAAGCTTTCAATGTGTAATGGAAGTTGTACTGCAGAACATAGGAGGCAACAATTTCAAATCAAAACATATAGATAAATACAAGTTGGAAAGGCAAGGGCTATTACCAAGAAATGTTCATTTTAGTGCTCAAGTTTATGAAACAATGGGGGCATACTATAATGAACAAGTGGCAACTACCAATGCAGGTCAATCATCAGGACAAATCATGAATGAAGAATAGGCATATCTTTAAAAATGATCTTTTATGGCAGGTTTAGTTTTGAATTGGCCAGATTCTACAAAACTAAAGTGTTAATGCTTTTTTGTATGCTTTTGTATGTAACATTAGTATGAAAGTACAAGTACTGATGTACTTCCATGTAGTATGTGTACAATTTTTTGTAAGCTCAAATGCAATGTTATCATGTTATGTAGTATTTCAGATCCAATGCACACATTTACAAATGCAATCTCTTAATTGGATTCCACACAAACATGTCATAGCAAACAGAGCCCCCTTTAATTACTCAATTGGGTCACATCAGTAAAATAAGAGGTACAATAGGCAACAAATCAGTAAACATGAACTCAAGCCCCATAACATCATTAGATTCTCAGTAGTCAATAAACCCCAACTCACATAAACGTATTGTACCAACAAAGAAACAACAAACATGCAATTCATCATCAACATTTACAAAGTACAGAGAAATAGGGAGTAACTTCCCTTTGAAGTCAAGTCGAGGCTCCTCCCCCCCCCACCCATCGTTACCTTCATCTGAGCCATTATCTGAACAAGTCAGGTTGCCACCGTCATCCACCGCTACCGAAGACACCTCCTCTCCATTTTACAAGCCGTCCAGCCCGTCGTATGTGTCAGACACATGGTTGTCCCCGTATTTCTTTCGTATCGCCCGTTTCGAATCCGTCTCAGGCTCACTTGAGTCACCAAAATGAAAAATTCTTGGACAACACGACCTCGAAGGCGTTGCATTAAATGAATCTAGAGGCCGACCATTTTCCGATTTCAAGTCTAAGATCAGTGTCAACTTCCCTCCATGCAAAACACTTTCTGATTGCTTGTGTAGAGATGGAGGAGAGGTTTCTTTTGGAAGAGAAGGGGTAGATGGGTAGCAGCGGAGTGGTGGGAAAGAACTGAGACAAGGGCGAAGGAGAGAAGAACTAAAGGAGAAGCGGTCAATGAGTAGCAACACATTGGTGGTAAAGGACGGAGAGAAAGATGAAGGGAGTATGAAGATGAGAGAGGACGGGAGGTGGAGAAGATAATGGAGAAGGGGAAGATGAACGGGTAAAAGAAATGGACGATTGGTTGAGTGGAATAATTAATGAGAAAGGGGCGGGGTATATTTAATGTTAAAGGGGTAAGAGGGTAAATTAAATGATAAAACTTTCCAAAATGGTAAATGTGACTTTCATTTTGGCACATCTATTTAAACAAAGTGTGACTTTCATTTAGAGACGGGGGAGTAGTACTTTTGATAAAGAATATTTTTATAACATTTTCATATTATCGATAATCATGTAAGTAAATATATAATGAGATAATTCCCTAACTAGGACTAAAACTTATTAAGAGTGCAACAATGGGACTTCCAATGTTCCTTTACTTCCGTAGGACTTAAAAGAGATGAGTTGACATCAATACCCTTAATGAATAAAGAAGCTACGGTTCTCAGTGCACATCTCCGATGCCACCTCCACCGCCACCACCACCGTAGGCGCTGTCACCACCACTGCTGCCACCACCATCATCATTATCGCTGGCGCCGGCGTAAGCGCCGCTGCCACCACAGGTGCCGGTAGCCTCTGAATCTCTGACCTCATCCACCCTTGCCGGTGGCCGCCGCCATCTCTGGCGTCATCGCCGCCACATCTGACGATATCGCCACCTCATCCAACACCAGTGTGACTCATCTGCGTGAACAGTGCGAACTCTGGCACCGGCGCCAGCACCGCCTCCATTGAGTCAACCATTGTAGATCTCAGATCTAAATCCAGATCGATCTGGTGTGACAATTACTCAAGTGTTACCTTGTTGTTGAAATGCCATCTGAGTGTTATTAGTGTCATCCTGACATAAATAAGATGCCATTTTCGTATTAAAGAACATGGCACTAATGTCTTTTCGAAAGTGTAATATTGCCATATTTGAAACATTAATGCCATAAAAATGGCATTTTCGAAGTGAAAATTTCAAATTCAAAGCAGTACAATTATAGATGTATTCTTATAAAAATGACATATTTCTGAAATCAGTTTTCCAATATATGGGGTTTTGGGGGGGGATAATTTTAATTATGCCATTTTTAAATTTATAAATAATAAAAATAAGCAAACGAAAATCAAATTAAATATAAAAAATCTCGAATTAAATAAAAAATTGACAAATAATGAAAATAGAGATGATGGAAGGAGGAGGAGTAGAAGGAGGAGGAGAAGGAGAAGGAGAAGGGGAAGGAGAAGGAGAAGAATATTTTTATATCATTTTCAAAATGGTAAATGTGACTTTCATTTTGGCACATCTATTTAAACAAAGTGTGACTTTCATTTAGAGACGGAGAGAGTAGTACTTTTGATAAAGAATATTTTTATATCATTTTCATATTATCGATAATTATGTAAGTAAATATATAATTGATCAAAATTAGACACAATTAACTTAGTTTAGCTACCTAAAAATGGGACAGATTGAGTATAAAATAAATTTGATAATTTATTTTAACCCGAAGCGGAGTTAATACGAGTATTATTTAAACCTTATACTCCGTATATGATTAAATGTATATTTAAATTTTACCGAGTATTTGTTTAGATTTGATTTGGTTGGATCGAACTCAAATCCAAAACATGCTAGAATTGTAGCTGTGCTAGGGTCGACGGTCACTATTTATTATCTTCTTTTGCTCCTCCGGATTTCCAGTCGAAGTGCTACCACAGACTCTTCCATGGCTGAATCCCCTAACAGAACCCCGAGTCAAACTCGTTCCCCACCCCTGTCTGGCCCCGATTCGTTGCATCACTGGTGCTATCACTGCGATAAACGGGTCTCCATTGAAACCCTAGCGGATCTTCCTGACATCATCTGCCACGAGTGCAAAAACGGCTTCGTCGAATCCATCGCCGCCGACGCCGTTCAACGGGTACCGGCACCCGACCAGATCGATGACAGCAATTTCAATAATCAGTTCTTCCAAGTCCTGCGCCTCATCGCTCAGGCTGCGCATGATGACGACACACCTCCGCCGCCGCCGCCTCCTGATCAAGCGGATCCATCGGATGATGATTACCTCCGAATCGAAATCGGTGGATGGGACAACGACGATGACGGCGAGAATGACCTGGATCAAGACCTAGAGGATGAGAATCGAAACGAATCTGATCAAGACAACGAAGATGACGACGATGAGGATCAGGAGGAGAGAGAAGAGGAGGAAGAAGAGGATTATCGCCGGAGGCAGCGTGATGTGATCCGCTTACGGCTTCGTGACCTAGTAGCTCGAGCTTCTAGCAGGCCCAATCGAACTCTTGATTGGGCGGAAATTCTCATTGGGATGGATGATCAGTCAGTTGAAATAGATGGCTACTATGGGAATCCTGGAGATTATGTGGACGCTGCAGGATATGAGGCTTTGCTTCAGAACTTGGCTGATATTGATATTGGCGGAAGACAAGGGCCCCCGCCAGCTTCAAGAGCTGCAATAGAGGCTTTACCTACTGTTGCCATCAAAAGCGGTTTGCAGGAACTGGAATGTTCTATATGTAAAGATTCTGTAAACACAGGTGAAATTGCAAAGGAATTGCCATGTGGGCATATATATCATGGGGATTGTATAGTGCCATGGTTGGGTTCAAGGAATTCGTGCCCTGTTTGTAGGTTTGAGCTGCCCACAGATGATCCAGAGTATGAAGATTTAAGAAAGAAGAAAGCTTGCAACTCTTCATCAAGCTCATCTATGGCTGCTGGAGGAAGCAGTGGTGGATGTGATTGATGAATTGTGGTAAATCTACATTCCCACCCATTCATACAATCATATTAGATGACCTGTTTTTCTTTGTGTATGGAATACTGGATGGGGTGGTATAACATTTGAATGTAAATAATTTCTCTCTTTCAATAACAAAAATGTCTGTGACTGCAATTTAAACTATGTTTGGTGTTTTGGTTGGTTTATTTATTGCATTTTTCTTTCAGTTCATGCAACAAGTGCAAACATGTTCTGTATGAAGGCATTCAATGTAAACATTTATCTTTGAACTCTTTTATTGGGAGTCCTGTATTTATTTTCACTTAGAAAGTTATGGAATGCAATTCTACTGTTGCAGAATCATGTTGAAGTCAGAAAGTTTCAACTTGAAGGTATTATAGAGACTTTGGTAGAAGCTTGGATCTGCTAACGTACTTGTTTGGTTGAAAACTTGAAATGCATTATTCTAGACCATTTCAACCCAAGTTACTTTTGACCTTATTCCTGATTATTTATGAATCATTCAAAATTACAACACTGATAAACACTTCATTCCAAGATTCATTTGGATACAGCAAAATTTCTAATTTCTAATTCTCGTACTACTTCTTGGATTAGAAAGATTTAAAATTACCCTTCCCTGGAGTAATCCTAATATGCATCATATATATTGTAGTTCTGAATCTTGTGCTTGTTCCCCAAGCCAGAGCTACTGTCTTGAGAAGCTATCTGAACAAAATCAATTGGTTGAGGTCAAATAAGGATAGCTTAACCCGCTCGGTTCGTAGTTTGACCTCAAAGGATCTATTTAATCACACTTCTGTGATGGAGCAGGCAGTCGGGACAAACACCGTAACCGATTCCATGGGAAGAATGTTATTTTTTGAATGATCATTTTCCTAGATGTCAGGTGGGAGATTAGTTAGCATGTGAACAACCTCACGCATGGAAGGTCTGGAACGGCTGTCGTCTTCCACACACAACATTGCAATCTTGAACATATGGATCACACCCTGCAATGAATAGCCTTTGAGTCGGCTGTCGACAACAGCTAGCACAGAAGCTGCATCAGATGGTTGAGGGAGCTCAGAAACCATCTTTCTCACCCATCTCACTATGTCCACCCCATCTCCAAACTCCCCAACTGGCTTCCTCCCCACAATCAACTCTAACAACACAACCCCAAAGCTATACACATCGCTTTTCTGATCAACCTTCAAAGTATATGCATACTCTGTTTAAGCATTTAAAAAGCACCATGATCAGAAACAAGATTTATAACACACTCAATCACGTTGGCTAAGGTAAGGTAGTTTGAAAGGAGAGTTTTGGAACCAAGTTTAAGCATTTAAAAAGTATTATGTTCAAAAACAAGATTTATGAAACACCCAATTATGTCAGATAAGGTTGGGTTGAGTGAAGAGTTGAAGATGCATGGCAGCATGGATGCTACAACTATCGTTTGGAGAAAAATATTATCTAAATAGGATTACGAATAAGGAGAAAATTCATAAATAAAACTACCATAGTCTTATTCTCAAAATGGGACTTATTTACCCTTATTTTGAGAGGTTTTAAAACAAAATACCTTAATAGGAGTAAAACAATTTGAAATCCAAAATCAGACTCATGTTTTCATTCCTTAACTAGAAATCATTTTGAAACTATGTTTAACTTTTGGCCCTACAGCAATTTCTATTATCAGCAAGTCCTTGCAAAAATTTCAATCAGCCCTAGAAAAATGTTTACTCAGTATTAATTACTTTTACTTTTTTCGAACTGAATCAATCTTCTTTTGATAGAAAACGAGTAATTGTGCACATCCGGTTTTACTCCTAATTGAAGTAAATATTTTTTACTTTTTATAACAACCATGACAAAACCCTCTAAATTCTTCCTCTCCAAAACCATCCTATATAACTAAATCTGGATTGCGGGTTATGGAGAATAAACTTTGTGGAGAGCTTTGCTTACATTTTCATAAATAGAAAGTTTCTAAACAAGGTACATCTAACTGTAATGGACAACTTATTATGTCAATTCCTACAAAACCTTAAATACACTTCAAGACAGAGAAACTTGGGCCTCCACTCTCCTCAAAAGTCAAAACACACAATACCTTCAAACATTGAAAAGCATAATTTACAATGCCTTGACAAATAATATACCACGTACTGAGTATTTCGTAATTCATAGAACCTACTAAACGTGAGCAGAGCATCTTCAATGATTAGCTAATTATCATCCTAGCTTGGCTATCTACATAAGCATTTGCCGCAAAATTAAAATGTACTCTTATGGTTAGCTATAACATATTTCTCTTCATTTATTAATAATAGTGCTATATCTAGTACGAGTAATTCTTTGCACAAGCTAGTAGTTCATTTTGACTGATTAGCTCTCTCAAGCAAAAGGAAAAGCTGTGCAAGCAAGTACTCAAAAGGAATCGTTGGAGATGCTCTTAGTATATTAGCCAGTCAAATATCAAATTGACTTCCAATATTTATAAACTCTCAATATATTTATGGTGCCTTCTATGGTACCATAGTTAGGATGCATTTCATTGGTGCAACTCAAAGTTTTACATTTTATTTGCATTTAAATTATTCAATTGAAAATTTTTGATTGGTCCATACCATCAAGGTACGGTAGAAATTGCCTATATTTATACAAATCCAAATATTTGAATGGGATGACTGACCTGGAGCAATATAGCCGTAGGATCCAGCAACAGATGACATGCATTGCGACCCATCTGCATCAAACAAGAACTTGGCCAGCCCAAAATCAGCAACATGGGCTTCATAATCCGAGTCCAACAAAATGTTATTGGATTTCACATCCCTGTGGATGATGGACGGGCAGCAATCGTGATGAAGATAACAAAGCCCTTTTGCGGCCTCCGTGGCTATCTTGTACCTCATATCCCACTGCAAATGCCCTCCTTTACTTCCATGCAGCATTTCCCCTAAGCTCCCATTCGACATATATTCATAGAGCAGCAAATTTGTCTCCTTGTTCTTCAAATACCCAACTAATCTCACAATATTACGGTGCCTGATTCTCCCGAGCGTTTGAATCTCCGCCTTGAATCCTCTGTCCTGATTATTCCGATGGTCGCCCCCTCGCCGGACGATTTTCTTGATCGCGACGTCCGTCCCATTGGGCATGCACCCTCTGTACACTACCCCAGCTCCGCCTTTCCCTATCACATTCTCCTCTTTTAGGCACTCCAACACATCACTCGCTTTGAAATCCAGTCTCTGGAATGCTGTTAGTTTATATGCCTTTCTTGACTTCTTTGTCCTGCCCTTTGTGCTGATCATCCACGTGGCAGCTAGCAGTGATCCCACGGCAGCTGATATGACCAGGGTTATAACCGTCTTGGAAGTGTGGCGGTTCTTGTGGAAGCTCAGGGATGAAGATGAAGGGCAGTGTTGTGTGTGGGGAGAACAGAGTCTTGGATTTCCGGCGAATATACGGTCGTTGAAGAATTTTAACTGCCCGTTGACTGGTCTTCTGCCGGAGAAGTCGTTGTTAGAGAGGTCCAGTACAGTTAGGCTGGTCATCGCCCCGAGTTCACTCGGAATTGCGCCTCCCAGTTGATTATTCGACAAGTTCAGTGAGTTCAAACTAGTCAGCATGGAGATTTGCTCCGGCACCGGGCCGGTTAGATTGTTTCCGCTCAAGTCGATGGAATAGAGCTCCTTGCATTGGGTGATCGAAGCTGGGATTTCGCCGGTCAGAATATTTTCACTCAAATCTAACGTCACGAGGTTCTGTAACTTCGAGATTTCCATCGGAATTTCACCCGAGAATCTGTTGGAATCCAGAGATAATGCGACTAGATTCTCTAGGTTACCCAGAGAGTGGTAAATTTTCCCGGTGAGCCGGTTGTTGGAAAGAGAGAGACTGGTGAGGTTCTTGGCTGAATACTCAGTCGGAAGCTCGCCGGAAAGGTAATTGTCCCGGAGCTCAAGCATATCAAGAATAGGCAAATTGAAGAAACCGGGAGGGATAGTTCCGTTCAGGAAATTCTTCATCATGCGAACCCTTATTAATGATTTACAGTTTCCAAGATCTTCAGGAATCGAACCAAAGAAGAAATTCTCCATTAAAATTAACGTCTTTAATCTCCCTCCTTTACACAAGTCTTTGGGTATTGGACCAGTGAATCGGTTTGAGGTTACGTCCAGATACACCAGCGGGGAGTTCCGGCCAAGATTTTCCGGCAATTCGAACGTGAAGTTATTCCCCCAGACCTGCAAAACCTGGAGATATTGAATGTCGCCTATGAACGAAGGAATCCCACCAAAGAACTTGTTCTTGAAAAGGTTGATCAGTGTCAGGTTCTTTAGTTTGGCGAAACCCGCCGGGATTTCTCCGGTGAGCTCGTTGACTGAGAGGTCAAGGGACATTAAATTCTCCAAACCGGACAGTTCCGCCGGTATGCGACCGGTAAGATGGTTCATTTGCAGAAACAGAGTATGTAACTGCTTCAAATTACCAAGCTCCGGGGGTATTTCGCCGGTAAGGTTACAACCGCCGAGATCCAAGAGCCGGAGGGTGGCTACGGAACCAAGCTCCGGTGGAATGCCGCCTTCATACGAATTGTAGTACCCCAGGCAGAGTTCTTCGAGGTTCGGAAGCTTCGCCAGGCTCGGAGGTATCACTCCAGTAAGTGAGTTCCCCTGCAAGGCTAAGCACTTCAAGCTCTGTATATCGGAGTAAGCTTCCGGGATCTCTCCGATGAAGAAATTTCCGCCAAGCTTCAAAGTTTCCAACCTTTTAAGCTTCACGAACTCACGCGGGAGGGTTCCGGTGAAATCGTTGTTATAGACGTCAAATACCCGGAGCTCTACCATGCCCAGCAAGATTTCTCGGGGAAACTCGCCGGAGAAGCTGTTGGCGGAGAGGTTAATGAATCTGATGGAGGAAAGTTTCGCGAATTCCAACGGAAGCGGGCCGGTGAGGTTGTCGGAGACGAGAGTCAGGTTAACAAGCCTATCAAGAAGTCCGATCTCCGGCGGGAGAGCTCCGAAAAGCGGAACATGGGAGATGTTCAATGAAACCACGCGTGAATCTCCGTCACATGTGACGCCGGAGAAAGTGCAATGGACGGCAGGGGATAAGGAGTTGAAGGCGGACCAGTCACCCAGACCGGTGCTCCCCCGGCCGACCATGGAAGCTTTCAACTTTAACAGTGTGTCCAGATCATTTTCGTGTTCTGGGTAAGATGCATTGATTGTGGAAGACAGTAAGAAAAGAGAAAAAAGACGAATCTTCGCTCCGGGCATGATTCTTGTTCATTCGAATGGAGAGTTGTTTGGGTTAAATCTTTCTTGAGGAAGCAGAAGCAAAGTGGAACAGAGCACAAAGTGGCTGTCAGTGTCGCCGTCGGGATTTAACTGAGATTCGAAGGATCTATGCATCCAGTTCACCATGCGATTCGGAGTATATATATACCTCCTCCCAATAGTGTTAATTTAAAAAACAGGGAACCTACTTAAAACTCATGGTTCAAATCATTGTCTTATTTTTAATTTAGATTTAAATAAGGTGACGACTCCGGTATCCATTTAAAAATTGAGGTACCGTATCTATCAATCACTTGATTGGTCCAAATCATTATATTTCATCTGTTCCTTAAAACTTGTCATCTTTCCTTTCACAAATGCTAAAAGTACCCCAAAATGTACTCCATTTTTACCCCCACCCCATAATGTGTGGCCATAAATGAGGCAATTCATTTAAGTGGGGCATCACTTAAATGAATTGGCCCATTTATGACCACACATTAGGGGTTGGGGTAAAAATGGGGTACATTTTGGGGTACTCCTAGCAAAACTCCTTTCCTTTTTTGAACGTCCGAAAAAACTTTGCTACTTTCCCTTTTAATCAATTATTTTGTGGTTTCTGTTATTTCTCTCTCCTCTGCAAAAATCTCAACCACACAGTTTTTACTTTATTATTCTCCGTATTGGTCAACCTTAGTAAAGTTTTAAGGGACGAAGGTAGTATCATTTTTAATTTAGATTCAAATAATTCAATTGCACCATTTTTATTGGTCCATGTGAAAATATGTATGGTACCTTAAGCAGTTCGTATATCGTGGGATCATCCCACGGTGAGTATCATGCTCCACCCCCAAAACGACGTAATTTTACACTTTTTTTTTTAAATCACGTGAAAAGGATACGCTGAACTGTACACGCATGTACAGTAACGGTTTTTGTTTTCCTTTTGTCTCAATGGCAAGAATGATGTAACTCGCGCTGATAAAATATGTAACTGCAGGCAAGTCTAATGTAACTTATCTAATACGGATTATAAGAAATAAAACATTAATTTCAATGAAAATAAGGTATCTAATTTCTCAATTACTCTACGTAAATAGTGAATATGTTTTGTTTTTGATATTCAGACCATAAATAATGTTTTTTTTTTCTTAAAATCGTTTATTTTGCCAAAAAAAAACATTTTTCCCTGCAAACAAAACATTTTTTTGGCAAAAAATAGTGATTTCTTTGTATCAATAGCAGGGGATTACTTAAATAGTAAATATGTTCTATTTTTTATATCAAGGCCATAAAAATATTTTTTTTAAATCACTTTTTTCCCTACGAAATCATTTTTTTGCAATTTTTTTTGAATAAAACTGATTCTTTTGTTTGAATAGCGGGGCTTTATGATGTGATGTAACTCATGTTATAGAAAATGTAACTCGTGTTGATAGAAAATCTAACTTAGATGTATGCAAAATGTAACTTGTTAAGACAAGTCTAAATGTAACTCGCGTATAAGAAGATGTAACTCACGCATAAAAAGATGTAACTTACGCATAAGAAGATGTAAATCCATAGACTATCAAATGTAAAGAATGAAAACAAGGAGTCTAATTGTTCAAATTAATATACGTAAATAGTTAATATATTTTGTTTTTAGTATTAAGGCCATAAAAATGTTTCAAAGAAAAATATTATTTTTGCCAAAAAAATCATTTTTTGCAAAAAAAATCATTTTTGTTTGCAAAAAATTACTCCCTCCGTCTCGTTGGAATGTTCCCGCTTTCTTTTTTGGATGTCCCATTGGAAAGTTCTCATTTCCCTAAACAGAAAATTATCCTACATCAAAACAGGGTCAAACAGTGCAAAACAGTGTCAAACAGTGACGAAACAGTGCCAAACAGTGTCAAAACAGTAAAATTTACCCCCTAGTAAGTTTATTTCCTTAATATGTGTGTAGGTCAAACCGGGAACATTCCAACGGGACGAAGGGAGTAATTTTTTTTTTGTTTCAATAGTTGAAGTTTATTTTTTGATGTAATACGTGTTATGAAAAAGTGTAATTCGCGTTGATGGAAGATCTAACTTAGATGTATGCAAAATGTAACTTGATGAGACAATTCCAAATGTAACTCGTGCATAGAAAGATATAACTTACGTACAAGAAGATGTAACTTGCGAAAAAGAAGATGTAACTCCATATACTATCAAATGTAATTCCATAAATTTTATATAAGCATATGAAAAATGTAATATAATATCATGTTTTATGAAATATAAACCGAAATAAATAAATGTAATGTCTTAAAACACTAAAAACATATAAAAGAGATAAGAAATATATTTTTTCGCGAAGAGATAAGAAATATATTATAGAAAAAAGTGTATGAATATGAAAAATATTTTACAAAAAAAATGTTTAAATGTAAAAATATTTTACAAACAAAAAGATTACACAAAAAATAAATTTGGTAGTAATTTCTATTGAAGAAAAAAAGTTAAAAAATAGTGTATGGTTATTAATGCAATATACTTATTTTATGTGGTTTAATAATTTTCTTTATTAAATTGGGAATGAAAAAAGTTAATTTAGTTGTAATTTAATGAGATAAAAATAAAATCACAATTATATATGTAGGGTTTTCATGAAGAGGAGAAAATTAAAGAATTGAAGTAAATAAAAAGGAAAACTAAAGAGAAAGAAATAATTTGGTAGGTAGTGCTTGAGTGAAAATTAAAGAGAAAGGATACTAAAGAAATAAAACATGTATTGCTTAAGGGAAAAGAAAGAGAACATGCTTAGCTTCCAAAAAATTAGAAATGTACCGTATGTGGTACCGATATACCATGAGCATGGTGCACCGATACCACGGTATAATTTGGGTACCTTAAGGGTACCATAAAATCTACCTTTAAATAATTCAACTACATTATTCTCATTGATCCATTTGGACAAAGATATGGTACCTTAAGAGTACCATAGAATCTACCAAAAAAATAGAATAAGGATATGGGGATATATTAAAAAAATATTAAAAGTTATGTTGGTGTATTTATAAATATTAAAAATTACAAGATATATCTGAAAATATATGTATATAGACACCGTTTGGTGACTCTGTTTTTTAGTTTATCAGCCTTATCACTCAACTTTTTAACCAAACACGCAACTTTTGATTTCGCGCGCTGAATTTTGTAATAATAGGAAAAAAGTAAGGTTGGAGTTATTTGTCTGACTGTATTGGCTGAAGTTACTGTAGATAATCATTTTAGCTATTTTTCATATGATTTTTTATTTATTTAATTAATAAAATATATTTTAAATTTAAGTTTTTCATAAATCAGCAGAATCAGTCAATTCGAAAATGACTGATATGTCGATTCAAACGATTATATTGTTACAAAGCGGGCCCATATTATCGTCTAACCGCTCATTCATGACAGTGAAGTATTTCACATTATCAAAATAGTTAAAAGCAAATTCATATTTTGTCTCATAAACACTAGTGTATCTTGAAATCTATTTCGGTTGTCCGGAAATGATTTTCCACTTTCTATTTTAGGTATGTAAATAAGAATTAAGTGACAAATTTACCCTTACTTTTACTTTTTTTCCATTAACTTAAAGACATCTACATTTGGGAAGATGGGCAAAAGTGTAAAAAGCCAACATCATTTATTGTCACTCCTTAATCCTTGTGTCAGAAAAAGTTTGCAATTCAATTCGGGACGGAAGGAGTATTTAAAATGGGAAACGAGTCAAACAATCACAACTTTAAAATTAAAATTATAAGTACTCAAAGATTTTGGATAATGGAACTTGGATAGAAAATAATACTTTAATAAAAAGCTAAAAGTTCTAATATATATTTCTACAAGAGTTACTAATTTTCAGGGATAACGTAATCTTCCAAAAAGTTTGTATCTCGTTCTTATTCATCTTATAGAAAAGTTGGCAAGCTCAAGTACTCTTATGTCATCCATGTTCCTATAGTTATTTCCACCAACACCCCACATTTTAGTTGTCATCCATATACTTAGTCGTGTGTGAGATTAAAACAAGGTAAAATTTAATTTTAGTTTTTCATTTTTTAAGAATTTTATTATGTACATTTGGTGTTTTTTATGAAAAAAAATTAACACGTGTATCCATCACGATACGGGTATCCTGAATTTTAAATTAATTACTAAAAAAGTTAGAAACTTTTAAGAAATTACAGATACAACCTAGTGAAGTATATGAATACTATAGTTTAATTTTTCACTTAAATAAAAGATATAGAGAAAATTAGTAAAATTTTATCAATGAATCATGAGTATAAATGAGAGAAGTAGATCAAAAGAACATTTATATGCTAACCCATAATGAATTAATAGAAATGGTGAAATACGTTCTCAATGAATTCTAATGTGGACGTTTTAAAAATGAATTGAAAGTATCTTAAAAAATTATTAACTTTGATTTTATTTTTTTAGCTTTTATAGATTTTAATGTATATATAATTAATATTAACATATACACATAATTCAGAAATTTATGGGCCGTAGTGGAACAATGGGCCCTGGGCGCATGCCCCTTTGCCTATGCCCCAGGACCGGTCCTGACGGTGAGCACCGTACAACCGTTTTTTGTAATTAATCTGCGCTGCAACTCATCTACGAAGACAATGAAGGACATCGAAGAAGACGGAACATCGACTGCCCAGGTCTCCAACTCGTGAAACGACCCAAGCCGCAACATACTCCGATCGATTAGCGCAGCGAAACACGGTTTCGCTTTTGACCTGAGATTCAGATTCTTCCCAGCCGCTTGTTTCCGCGCTGGGTTATTTCTTTATTGTCTCCCGCTACTTAGAGGCATTGTAGATTTTTTTGGGAAAACTGTCAAATAGGTCCTCGAACTTTCATTAAAAAGTCAATTAAGTCCTTCTGTAGGAGGTTCTGTCAGACAGTCGCGATTTGGGGCAGTTCCTGGTAGAATTTTTTGATGAAATTTTTTGAGCATCTTATTCGTCAAGTCTAGTTTACCCATACCAAATTTCAGCTAAAAATTTAATCGGGAGCGCATTCAAATTAATTCGAGAACGCTAAAAGTTACGGGTTAGATGAGAGACATCCCCCTCGGGACAATGGCAAGGGACTGCTACGTGCTAATGATGCTAGGCACCAGATCAATCAGGCTCACTTA